GCCTTTGTTCAAATGAAGAAATTATGTTTCCAGGGGGCAATGTATCTTATTCCAGGATATACACTTCCTGGGGATTCTCATTCACATCTACCTGATCCTAGGGTTCATTGTTTTGGAGCCCTTCATGCCCGAGTCAGGGAGCCCCAAACTCTTTCAAGGCAAGAGACAGTACTGTCTTCTTTTTATATTTTAGATAGCTTCCAGCAGAGGCTTATGCAAAGTGAAGATATAAAAATAAAAGGTGTCAATACCAATAACCTTATTGTTTCTGTCAATTTGTGACTGCCTTCCAGAGAACACATTGCTCCTCAAAGATATTTTTTTTTTCTTTTTTCTTTTTTGGTGTTTGCTATAGGATGCATGCCAAGCATCAGAAAGAGAGAGAGAGAGAGAAAGTAAGAAATCACCCCCCTTGGGGGTTGGCCACACCACAATCAACTTCATCTCCATTCTCTTCTCAGAGTCTGGGGCACATGCAAGTGTAGCTAGTGTGATTTCCAAGCCACTCAGGTCCCAGACTAGAACAGTGCAGTTGGCTATGTGGGATCCAGTGCCTTAACCTCCATGCCACCTCCTGGCCCAGAAATATTTATTTTATAGATTAAAACTACAAATTAGGGGGGACCAGCAGATGGCGTGGTGGTTAAGGCGCTGGACACTCCCATATAACTGACCAGGGTTCGAGTCCTGAATCTAGTGGCTTGCTTTCTCACTTCCTCTCTCTCTCACTCTCACCCTCTATCTCTCTCAGGTCAAATTAAAAAATAAATAAATGAATAAATAATTATTTTTAAAAACCTACAAATTAACAAAAAAGTGTTAAAATTTTTTTTAAGAAAATTCTTGCAAAGAGGCTTTTAAGAAATTAGTTTAGTAAAGAAAATACTATATACAGATGGGTAAATATTACCAAATACAATAAAGATTTAAATAGTCTAATCCCTTAATTACCTAGCTATAGTAGCTCACAACCACATCCAGAATGACCTATAGGCCCAGGTCTAATGCTTGACCAGGGGTTCTCAACGTGAAGGGATTTTGTCCTCCAGAGGACACCTGACAATGTGTGCAGGCACTTTAAGTGCTTGTCACAAAGGGAAAGGCGCTATTGGCAGCTATGGGTAGAGGCCATGGATGTCACTAAATAGTCTCCAATTTGTCAGACATCCTGAGACAGCAAAGAATTAAGCAGCTACAAAATGTCAATAGTTCCACGATTAAGAAGTCCTATATTGGATGATTAAAATCTGTTGGAATTATCCACTGTCCTCATGTTTACATTAGCACTAAGAGTGAGAGTAGAAAAAGCCTGATCTCCCAGGTGTGTAAGATGAGTTCTAGAAATTTTTCAAATGTCCCAAGCACATTCTCAGCTGATTCAAGAAAAGTGCCTCATTCTGCAAGCTGCAATGGAAACAGGAAGTGAATGCACTTATCCCTAGTGAATCTGAGCACGGGCCAAGTAGCCATGTACAAGTGTGTGCTTTCCTGAATTCACAGAAGTTTAGAACCTGACAACTCCTAATACAGAAAATAAATTATTGTGTATTTAAGCAGCTTTTAACATCCCTAATTTCTAGTATCTAAAATTTAATAACAGCTGCTACAGGAAAACACACACACACACACACACACACACACACACACTCAGAACAAAGATAAATAGAGACTACAAAGGGTTTTCATCATTTGTTCCCCTGCCTCCGCCCCTATCATTTTCTTACTTGGAAGACTTCATTCAATGACAGGATTAACGAACCCAAAAACATATTGTAAACAAAGAAAAAAATTTGATAAGAGTTCATTTCTTAGCAACAACAAGAAAGGAAGAAGCAAACACTTTTTTTAAAGTATTAGGAACAACAGAGATGAATAGTGAAACCTTTCTGAAGTTCTATCAAAATCGAGATATGTTTCCTATGACAAGGAGTTTTGGTGTATTAGATGAGTCAAAGACACCAGCTTAAAAGAACAAAAAGTCACATCTATATGAGGACACTGTAATCTAGGAAGGGAGATGCTGAGAGGATGACTTTAACCTGCTACTGGAACTCCAGGGGATGCATGGATCTATTAAATAAAAAGCAAAGCAGGTGGCCAGCAGGTGGCATGGTGGGGAAGGGCACTGGACTCCCGCACGTCTGACTGGAGGCTTGCTTTCTCACTTTCTCTCTTTCTCGCTCGCTCTCTCTCACTCTCACTCTTGCTCTCACTTTGCCCCTCTCTTGTCAAGTTAAAATGAAATCAATGAATAAATAAATAAAGTTAAATAAAATAGTTCTTAAAAAAAAAAAGCAAAGCAGAAACATTTAGTTTGCTGTCATAAAGCAATCCAGAAACTAGCAGAGTGAGAAAAGCACTGCATGCTGCTCTTAGCTCCCCCTTAAAAACGTTTATTGAGGGACCGGCAGGTGGCATAATGGTCATGTTGCTGGACTCCCACATAGTCAGCCATGGCTCAAGTTCCCGACTTGGTGGCTTAAAACTCATGCTGGGCACATAAGCATGCATGCATGCCCAAAATCCCAAGAGGAGAATGGAGAAGAGATGGCAGTGTGGCCATCAGCCATTTGGGATGATTTCTTGCTTTCTGTCTCTCTGTCTTTCCAGTGAGCACACACACCCTATAGCAAAAATCTCTCTTAAAAAAAAAAAAGTCTGTTGAGCTTTCTTTTTCATTAATTAATCACTTTATTTATTTATCAATCATTTGTGGTGGTTTTCAAGCCACAAGGTCTAGGACCCAAATCATAGTCGGTCAGGTGGGAATCTAGTGCCTTAACCACCAAGCCACTTGTTGGATCCCTGATTAGCTTTTAAGTCCCAAAGAATTTCATAAATTAGAAACAAAAGTGAACTCATTTATTACTGTACAGATGGAAGTCTGGATGAGAATTTATTATAGGACTGCTCTATCTTTCTCCTCTTAAACTAAAATGTGGGTTCTTTTAGGGCTGGTAGACATGGAATACAAAAGGGAAAAATTACAAGAAATTTTTCTAACATCCACACACACACAAAAAAATCAAAGTATTCCAAATCATGTTCTGCTCAAAAACAAATCAATCATGAACACTATAAAGTACAGTGTAATGGAATTCAACAAGTGACCTACTTTAAACGGCTCACAGCAACCACTTGCATAAGAGGTCAAAGAAATACTACTTGAGCAGTAAGGATTTCTTCTGGGTTAAAGAATGACAATAAAATAATTGCAAATGATTGCTACAATTATTCTACAAGAGGCTTTAGTGCTCACAATTCCATTAAAGATAACAAAGTAAGGGGGAGAAACAATTTTCCTATATTATGAACAATATACTTTCTCAGAGAAAAGGTGATATTATGACAGGTAATTTTTGTGACAGATGAAGAAAGTCATGAAGAAAACCTTAGTGTGGCTGAGTTTGAGTACTCTATTTTCCTCACCTATAAAATCAAGAATTGGCCTATCTCTCTAAGACATTATCTAGCTGTAAAATTCTAATTCTGCAACTCCAATTTTTACATGGCTGCAGAAGTTTATGTTACCTGTTCTAACATTTCTAAAATAACAACAAAATATGTCTCTTCTCTCCATCCCCCATTATCCAGAATTGAAAAGTTTAGTCAGATACTATGAGGGTTGCAGGCACAGGTCAAGAAATATATTACAACAATGTAAAACAAATTATGTTAAATGTCAATGTTAACATGGATTTGTAAGAAAGAGAAAAGCTATTTGAAAATTCATTAATAAAAATCCTATTTTTCCTCACATTAAGTTATAATATATTAAATGAGGCAAATCTCCTGGTGAGAATTCTTGTTCTGAGTAATAGTGAGCCAGAAAGTGTGCCCTTGCTTGGAATTAGATTTTGCTTTACTGGGAAGTCATGTCAAGAAGCTCACTGAATATGTTCGCTCTTGGCAGGCATGTTAGCCAAAACATCTACCAGATGATGATGATGGTGACTAGCAAAGAAATAGCAACGTTTAGCAATTCTGAAAACCATTCGTAAGTCCTCTGTAAAGATATCTGTATTCTACCACATATACAAAAGGAAAACACTGAAGTTTTTATCCAAAAAGAATATTTTCTAATTTTTTTATTATAAACACATCCTCAGTGATACACTGCTGAAATTTTTCTATGCCACGGTCTCTACTATCCTATACGGTTCTGTCCACTATCCCTACTCTCCTAGATCTGTTACATAGCCAATAAAATTTCTTCTTAGGTGATTTAAAAATATCAATCTCTTTAGCAATAGACAGATCACAGGCTGTATTTTCATGCTGCTAAATCAAATACTCCTTCCACGAGGCCAAATAATCTTTAGTTCCCAGATTATACTTGAAAAGTTATAATCATGGTCTTTACTGCACTTAGAGGAGTTTAAATCTATTCCTTGGTATTCCTCTATTCTCAAAGGAAGAACACTTCCAATTACTGGCACTTGAGAATATCTAATCTTTCATTTAAAAATCAACTGAACAGAAGGTTAAGGAAGTGGCTTAGGACATAGCACCTATGATGATCTAAAATTTGCTATATTAAACCTACCTTCCCAGGACCAGCAGATGGTGGAGCAGTTATGTCACTGGACTCCCACATAGTCAACTGCAGTTTGAGTCCTGGACCCAGGAGCTTAAAATTCATGCAGAGTGTGTGTGTGTGTGTGTGTGTGTGTGTGCACTCCCAAAATCCTGAGAAGAGAATAGAAGAAAAGGGACTGCACTGTGGTCATTCGCTTTGGGGCTGTGAGGGGGTGATTTCTCGCTTTCTATCTCTTTGTCTCTCCAGTGAACACATGTCCTACAGCAAAAATCTCTCCAAAAACAACCTATTCTTCACAGAAAGTCACTCACATAATATTCTTCTAGAAAGTCTAAAATCGAAAGCCAAGAGAAAGCACTTATTCAAGAATAAAGTGAAGTATTAAGATGAAAAAAAAAACTATCAAAATACAATTTGAACCTAACTTACCAACAGATTTTCCAGTTTAGCCTCTACTCACCTCTCCCGGGGAACAGCAAACCAGTACTCCGGCTGCTTCCGACGTTTGCCATACTGTTGGACCATGGCTGTGGTGTGAGTGGCAAAGGATTTCCTCATTGGCTTTCCCACTTTGATGCACAGGAACATGGGCGGGGTCTTGCTTTTTTCTTCTTTTGAAGGAAGTATATCTGAGTCACACATGAAAAATATTCCTCAGTATTGGTGACAGAAAACCTTTCAACTTAACAAGTAATGTCTAATCCACTCACAGTCAAAACATGACAGAAACTTCAAATGACATCACAGTAGAACTAATAAAATTTTTAGACCTTTAGGGCAAAAGAAAAGGTTTTGAAGGTTTTAAGTTGGTCTGCATCACATAAGATGTTACATATTTGAAATATGCATGAAAACTGACATGATAGCAAAAAATGGAGAATTGTGATAATCTACCAGAATACATATTAATGAATGCTACTGAGGACCAGTTTGGATTGAAATCTCTTCAAAAACATTTTAAACGCCTTTAGGTTTGAAAATTCAAGGTTAAAAAATGAAAGTTTGTTGAGAGATTTAATAAAGTAAACTTGAAACAGAAATCAGAAATCTATGTCATAGTTCTAGTTCCAAAAACAGAAACCAGATTCTGTTCATTATTTCCCAGTTATTAACACTATCGGCAAGGATATACTCTATTAAGAAAATATTGTTTCCAAGTGATTGTACTTTGCTATTGTATGTGTAAGTTTCAGAACCAGAATGTCAAGACATTAAAGAAAAGTGCTTACCTTCGATGGGTACCTGAATTCTCTTTAATAGCCACAACTGAATTTCAGATTTCTTATCCATTTGTGCACCTTGACAGCTGTTGTCCAGAGTAGAGTCTAAAGAGGAGCCTAGAGACTCATTAATCATATTTTCTTCTTTGCTCAGTTTCAGGGGAAGGGGATCTCTCTGTTTCACTTGCATTTTATCTGGCTCTTCACTGCCCTCAGTTCGCAGATCACCTGCTTGAGGAAGAGACCTACTAAGGGTGATGTCTATTCCCACTGGTTCACTACTTTTGCCATCACTTAATTCTACCTTCTGCAAATTTTCAGAAAACTGTGACCCTTCTTTGTTCTTATTTAGGTAATATTCAATGAGTTTAACTTTATCTAGCTCTTCATGTATGTTCAGCGTATTTTCTACTCGACTTTCTGGAGAACCAGACTGCTTGTCCACTTCTGGCATTATATCTTGCTTCTCACAGGTTTCTAAGTCTAGAGCCCTCTTAAGTTCAGCATCACTCTCTGTTTCTGTAAAGTTCAGGGCTGATGGCTCCTGCATGTCCATAGCAGACCTGATTATTTGTGACTCCGCCTCCTTCTTCTCTGGGTCAAGAGAAAGGCATTCCTTCAAGGTGTCTCTCTTGTCTCTGCCACCGTCTGTTTGAGAAGAAAGTTCTTCCAAATCAACAAAGTCATCATCTTCCCCTAAAAGAGAGTTTTCTTTGGCTGTTGATTCAATTGCAACATGAGTGTCAGAAGGTTCCTTGCTGAGTTTAGTCAATGTGGGAGACTCACTGGTTGCCTCCCTAGAGGAATCCCATGCCTTTAATTTTCCTGACACAGAGCTGCTTGGTGACTTTGTATCTGTGTGTTCTGTTGACTTCTCTAAAGGTCCTATTGATTTGGAATCCAAAGTAATGGTTCTCTCTCCATTCTGCTGTCGTTTCTCCTTATTGATAGATTTGAACTTACTGAATGGGTTGATATCCTTTTCTGAAGCCAGGTCTTCCCATTCTCCAGGCCTGTACAGAGGACAAAGATCCTGAGGTAGGTCACTGTTGAGGGAAAATGGTGGGTGCACATGGAATGTTAAAAATAAAATCAAACACAAAATGGAGGAAAGGCAAAACAAAGCAAAATCAAAAACCAAACCAAAACCAAATCAAATCATACCAAATAAAAAAATCCAACCAAAAACCAAAATAATATAACACAACTTAAATCTATGTTTAAATGACTTCAGAGTAAGAAAATGAAGACAAGAAATAGATTTCAAAATAAAATGTAAGTCAACTAAATGAAATGGCAAAAGAATGAATCATGAGAGTTATGTATCCTACTAGGTTTTAGATGTTACTTATGAACATGGAAATATCACCTGTAAAATTTTGAAATATGAATAATGTTTCTGGTCTTCATGAAGGAAAGGACATAGGATAGGAAATATTTTAGCAACAATGACTAAAGCTCTTTAATTATTCAAAGCTTTTCCTTTTTGTAAAATAGTATATAAAACAACAATATGGTGAACACCCCAATCTAAAAATTCAAAATCCAGGCCTAGCAGGTGGCATGGTGGTTAAGGTGCTGAACTCCCACATGACCGACCATGGTCTGAGTCCCAGACCTGGTAGCTTGCTTTTTCTTTCTCTCTCTCTCTGGAGAGCATGTGTGCCCTATAGCAAATTAGAAAATAATAATGATAAATAAAATTAAATAAATATTTTTAAAAATAGTTCAAGGAGGTGGCTTATGGCATGGTGGTTAGGGCATAGGACTCTCACATGGCTGACCGTGGTTGGAGTCCCGGACCTGGAGGCTTGCTTTCCTATTTTCCCTTTCTCTCTCTTTCTCTGGTCAAAGTAAGAAAATAATAATGATAATAAATGAAAGAATTATTTAAAGAAATAGTTCAAATTCCAAAATGTCCCCAAATATAAAACTGTTGGAGTATCAACATGACACCAAGAGTGGAAAATCCCACTCCTGATCTCATTTACTGCAGTCAAAACACTGAAATACCAAAATATATTATAAAATTACCATCAGGCTTTGTGTATAAGGTATGTATGAAATATAGAAGAATTTTATGTTTAGACTTGGGTCCCATCACTAAGATAAATCATAATGTACATGCAAATATTTAAAATAAAAACGATCCAAAATCTTAAATACTTCTGGTCCCAAGCATTTTGACAAAGAGATATTCTAAATGGCTCATTGACTTAGTGGTGTCTCCCTTCATTGCTTTCTATAAAGTGACTAACTTACAACACTGATTGTGGGTTTCATGACTTAGAATACAATATCTCCAATAACAGATACTCTTGTATCACTGAGGATACAAGATGAAGCTTTCACTATTATTGTGGACATGGAGCAGTAGCTCCATTTTACAGCTTTAAAATTTATAGAAAAATGAATCTTGTCAACAAAGCTCTTATTTATAATACTTGGTTTAAATTTCTTAATTACGCAACTCTTTAATTTCAGAACAGTATCCTTTTACTGTATGGCAATGGGGCAACTGGTATATCAGCTGAAACGGTGTGCTGGGATGCAATCAATTATTTTTCCTTAATAACAGAGACTTTACTACTCATATTTGGATTAAACAGAAATATTGTTTTAGCATGCTCTCTGAAGTTTAAAATAAGTGGTCAAAAGCCAGCAAGTGGCATGGTGGCTATGCTGCTGGACTCCCACATGGCCAACCAAGGTTCTAGTCCTGAATCTGGAGACTTGCAAACCACGCCAGGTGTATGTGTATGCATGCCCAAAATCCCAAGAGGAGAATGGAGAAGAGATTGTGGTATGACCATTCCCCCGGCTGGTGATTCTCCTCACTCCCAGCCCCAACTGTCTCTGGGTGAGTACACAATGCCCTATTGCAAACTAATAATGAATAAATCACTGGCTAGAATATTAACTTTTTTTCATAGAAAATAAAAGCCTATGCAACTGTAAGGCTCTGATAAATGCTTTTAAGAGCCTCTTTAATTTCAATTCAATAAACGCTTATTGAGTCCCTAATTGCCATATGCTAAAATACAATTGTGACAGTCTCTGTTCTGCAGGAACTTGCACAATACAAAATATCCTGCCCAAGACCAACATCCCAGGAGATGTTAAAAAGATGCTTTCAACCCTAGAGTCCAATCAGTTAGTGTAATGTGGTATCTCCACATTGAAACCCAAAATTTAAATTGACATATTAAAGGCTGTAAGAAATTCTGCAACAGAGAGAGCCAGCATTTTGCATACTTGATGTATAAAAAAACTTCCTCCCACAAACACTCAAGTCCCTTTCCCT